AACCTTTGTAGACATTGTAGCATACGAGCCTTCTAAAGTGATTCAAGGAGTGTATTGAGAGCGCAGAGCGATAATAAGCACATACGTACCATCTCCATTTACCACCTACTTAATCCGGGCTTACTACTCACAATTCGTGCAACCAAACGAAAGGCACTTCGAGTCGAATGACAAAAAGCAGATTCAGACAAAGTTATGGTAATTTGACTGCCAAAATCTGGGTACTTAGATGCGTCCTGCAATCCAGAATAGCCTACGTGATTTAATTTTTAGTGGTTTGACAGTCTTGATGACAGTTAATCTGAAACGTACACTCTTGGAACATGCAGCAACGCACCATGTACAACCCATACTAAAACTGGACGAATTTAAAAGTCCGGTTTTTAAATAAATCACGGTTTATATCTGTTCCTGTTTTGGACGTCATCGTCCTACTGTGTTGTGCACTTCGTAGTACTCATGTACTCAGTTGCATACGACATAGGTTTATCTGGGCTTAACCGCAGCCTTGATATGTGAAGCGTGGTGGATGATAGAGAAACTAAACAGAGCGTGAAACACGTCCTTACAGAAGCCATATAAATTGCAGCTGAGTTTCTAGTCACCATAAGAAGCCCAGTATTGATCAGCTGAGTTGCACATGCATACACTGTCCGTGTCTGGTGGACAGTGTGAGAAACGTTGTGTAAACTGGCCATCCCAATTGCACGCGTAAGTTCATCAACACTTGGCTTTACCGTATTATTTGTCGGGTCATTGCATACGATCAACTTTTATCAACATAAGCACACGTATCTTTCTTCGTCAGAGGTGAATTTACAAGAGACACTTGATTGTGATTCACAGAAAAGTTACATTAAAAGCGATTGTGCATCAAATGCATTTCATCGGAGACAAGTGTTCTCATATAAGTTAATTTGATACAAGCTGGTTTAGGTTACTTGAACTCATGCTTACGAACAAGTGCTTCGGACCAGGCTTTTTACGAAAGGATAAATTTTCGGACTTCACTACGACATCCTGATCATACTAAACAGTCTGGCTGACGGTGAAACAGGAATTCAATCTTTAAAGTCAAAGTCCGTAGATGCTATCGAGGGACAGAATGGCTCACCTGTCTACTAAAATGGCTGTAAATCAGACTGCACAGCACCTGTGAGCCAGAGACTTGTTTGACCTCCGACTTAGACTTCTTCCTTAAAACTTTAACCGAGTTTTCGAGAAATACACTCACTTCAAATTTGTTCGGACCAGGCTTTTTACGAAAGGATAAATTTTCGGACTTCACTACGACATCCTGATCATACTAAACAGTCTGGCTGACGGTGAAACAGGAATTCAAGCTTTAAAGTCAAAGTCCGTAGATGCTATCGAGGGACAGAATGGCTCACCTGTCTACTAAAATGGCTGTAAATCAGACTGCACAGCACCTGTGAGCCAGAGACTTGTTTGACCTCCGACTTAGACTTCTTCCTTAAAACTTTAACCGAGTTTTCGAGAAATACACTCACTTGCAAATTTGTTAATCAACTACCAATGGCCCAGCAGGGCATATGAGTTTAGATGGTGACACGTTCAGAGTTGATACTGCCGTACTCCTGAACGAAATGTAACTGAAGATATTCTGCCTCCGAAAATATACTGTCATGATTCGACCTCAACTGTGCTATACAGGATTGGTGATTCAAAGAGAACTGCCTGGTCATAGAATCTTAAAAGACATCGTGTTTATTCCACAGGACCAAATCCAGGAGTCGACATATTTATTAAGCAAACAGTTTTCCGTTTCTCGTTCAGGGTGCTGAAGATATCGTTTTAATTGCAGGAAATTAATATGATAAATACTTAATAGGTGTTCCTGCCTGTTGGATGATTTCTCGCTCAGATGTACAAAAACGTACTGTCCAAGTATGACCCAGTGTTTGCCCACTAAAAAGGAGACCATTTCGAAGTGGCGTGACTTCGTTCAATCTGGAGTGTTTGTGTACCATTTTTTCTCGCAGCTTAGCTGCAATGAGTCTTTTAGATTCACTCATGCTGAAGTCAACCAACTGCCCTCTGAGTTGAAAATTCACCAGTCGAGGTAACGATTTTACACGGTCCCTCAAAGGTGATAACTACATGCAGATTATGGCGAACCTGCCTTGTTTTTTTACCAGACGTCTTAGGAAACGCACATTCGGAGAGAGAATTTGTCGCCTTGGCAGATCTGTGCCACTCCAACTGTTACAAAAGTTATAGAAGATCAAATGCTCGTGAAGTTATCTCTTTTTACTTAGTCACAATGGTCATATCAGTCTGAGTATAAGTCACCTGACTGGATGTGTTCCTCGCGCTCAGTAGCAGACAGGCAGCTGAGAAACTGGACGCTGATTGAAATGAATGTTTTGTACCGATGAGCTATACTTGATGAATCACAGGCAGATAGGTGGAACTTTTGAGATGGGTTCACTATAGACAAGCAAATGCGCATGAACGTGCTTGTGATAGTCCCTTTTCGGGACGACAGGATACTGCAATGTGGCTCTATGTGTCATCTGGTGTCGCGTCTTGACAAACGATAGTGAAACAGCTTCGTCAGACTATGCTAGTAATCGATAAGCACCAGACTGGCTCCTGTTCGTCTTCAGGATTTTTGCAGAAAATTATGAAAGTCACGCTGCACCAGAGCCGTTCCATAGGTAACTCATCATCGACAGAAAGGTGGACCGGATTGTCACAGAAGGGGATCTTCGGACATAGTCAGTAAACGAAAACTCGTGAATATTCAAAGGACACTTTCACTTTCTCCATGAGGAAATCCCCGATTAACGGAACACATCACATCACAGATTTAAAATGAGAATGACGAGATTTCGATACCGCAAACGCGGAGGCCATGTAGGCATCACGCATAGATTTCACTCAACGATTTTGACGTATCTTAAAGCCTTATGGTGAGTGCAGCAAGTGACTAATAGAGATTTTATTATTCGATCAGTTGCCAGTCGAGTTTTTCTTAAACACCTCCTGAGCAGTCATCAAGTTCCTGCATTACAATAGTTTCCAGGGCAATGGCTCAAATGTATTTCAGCTGAATGTCTCGTGTAAGATACTTTCAACTCGAACTCCCTATATACAGTCTGCCTCATCTTTCATCTGGTATGATATTCGAGACAGGGGAGTCTATTTTCACAACATAAAGCACAACGCATAACGCTACCGAAGAAGCTTCGACAGTTCAATGCCAGTGTCGCTTTGCTTGAGACCCGTCAGATAGGCGTAGTCGCTGGGCCTCCGCAAATTTCATGTTCTACTCGAATTGTACTTGATTGGCGAAATCCACACATTCGTCAAGTAAGTTGCTATTCCAATAAAACGTATTCCGACAACTTCAACAGCTTGGCAAGTGAAAGCCGTTCGGTTGAAGGATATCATGAGTAAGACTCAGTTGGGGCTCGGGGATTCTCTCGCTAATGTGACTTGTGATTGAGAGTAGCTTAGCGATCGCATAGTATTTGGAGTTCAAACAGGAGATAAGGATTATGGAAAACCGGGCAGTGCGCCTGCCTCATGAGTCCCATCGGGACTCGTAGTGTGCTGTCGAAAAGTTTTGAGCGACCTTACGAGTAGTGTGGTATGCCAAGAACAGGTATTCCTTTTTTATTCGGAAGTGTTTCAGCACGTAAGCTTGATCGTCAACAGCGTGCAACCCTGGGCTATATACTGGTCGTGAATACCACCTGAATTATTCCCGACCTCACTTCGCCAACATAGCATATCCAAACACTGAGCGCTGAAATATACCCACTTTGTTGACGATTTCAGCGCGGTCGTGACAGACTTTTAACTATCCAAACAAACATCACATAATCCATACAGCATTTGTGTGCATTGATGTTGAGATCCAGTAGTTGGCATGCTGCTAAATACACTAGTATTCACAGAAATTGACTGGAGGTAGGCTATTCTACAGGAAAACCTTTTCGACCGAGAGCCGTCTAGAAGTTGGAAGTCCCACCGCTAGAAGTACTTCAGTAACTCACGTTTGGCCGAATTCTTCGTGGTGAGACACAAGAAACGAACCGATAACGTTGGGAAGAATGACATGACTACATAAAAAATAAGTATGAATAAGTAGACTCGTGCAGGTCGCCATCCCACCGTTAACGTACTGTGACGTGGTCAAGTCCAGTTCACGACTAGAAAGAGGACAGATACCAAGCTGTTCGCCGGTGTTTACCATGATTAAACTTCGAGAAAGTTGGATGCAAATGGGCCAAAGACAAATATGAAGTATTGGTTAGTGACAGTGGCAGTTTCCACGGGCGTCCACGGGCAGTAACAGGTGACGAGCCATATTATTAGATTAATTAGAACTATCTCCTACCTAGGGATACCAAATAAACCTCGACCTGACTGTCTTCGACATAATCAGGTATTCCTGATATGTGCCACACCTGGAGTCCTACGTACCAGGTATAACAAAACATAGGCATCAACGCATTCCAGTCCAGCCAGCTATGATTTCCCAACAGGGAGTCCGCACAAGAAAAAAGCGAATATCAGCAGGCAGTGAAGCATGTGCCAACACTGATATTGCTATCTTTGATGATGACGACGATGACAGTAGGATTTCGCTAGCTCAATCAATGTGAATACATCCAATCAGTTGTGATGCAGGTGAATGCCCGAATTTGGGCGGACATAACGCACCGAATCGGGACGCAGATATTTGTAGGCACCATCGGTAATCACCGACGGGCAAAAATTCAGACCTATCGAAGACGTGGCAGCGGCTTGCGTCAGTTATCGCTTCCTGTTACTGACACAAACAGCCTCAAATCCGCTCTTTAATATCAACAGGGCCACTTGCTTGTTGCCGTTCCTCAGGAGGTTTCTTGCTGAGAAATTTCGGCCACAAGTATGCAAACAACTATTAATGGATTTGAGCTTTCTTTACGCAAACGGAGAGGCGGTGCTATCGAAGAAACCCGACAACACCCAGAAGGTAAAACACAAGTTGAAACAGCAGATAGTTACGTCATGGATTTGTGGAACACTCAGCAACAAAGATTCTAGATGAAATATCAACCGATTGTGCAATGGTGGACAAAAAACAGCGGTTAGCAATGGATGAATTACGCTGGCAAAGTATGTGGATGAAAAATCGGCCGGGATCCATCACAATAATTACGAAGAAAAACATCATATTAAAAAATATGCGCGCTCAAACTGAAAGAAAACAAAATATCGATCGATAACATGATCAGCAGATCACAGATAATCAAAGCATGGAACGAGACAGACACGATAGAAGCAAGGCAAAGAAAACAAAAGCAGGAGAATGATGTGAGACTGGCGATGGTAAAGTATCTCTCAGTCATCGGACTGTGCTTCGTTCCATTTCGCTCTGAGCTCATCGACTTTGCTAAAGTCGAAAGGTTCACCAATTATGCGATGGTACAGATCCAAGACGTCCGCACAAGTACTCTCAAAGTGGGTCGAAGCATCGTAACTGGATGATATGAACAGCTGCAACAACGGTGACAAGAGAGAAAACAATGTGAATGAACAGACTAGATAGACGGATGCTCGCGATAATAATCTGGTTTTGTTGCTGGTCTGGTCGAGATGCCTTAGAATATGAAACAGGTGGGCAAAAGAGAACCTCTAGGCGGGATTTCTAAGACAGTGGTTGTTGAACAGCAATCCTTCACCGCCACACAACTATTTTAGTTGAAGGATCGCCTCCCGGCAAACAGAACCAGGGACTGTGTCTACAAAATTAAGTGTAATGACTGCACCAAGGTCTATATAGGACAGACGGTCAGGGAACTACACATAAGAGTCGGAGAGCATAGTAGAAAAATAATCAGGCCGCCGAGAAACGTAGATGAACATCAAGCGTTACTGAAAGACTCGGCGATTGCGGAACAAGCACTCGACACGGGACACAAAATAGATTTAGAAAATGTTGAGGTTTTGAAGCGAGGACTACGGTCCACGTCACACAGACTAATCGCCGAGGCGGTAGAAATCGCAAAGCATCCCAGTGTTAACACAGTAGGTGTGGAACTGGCAACCGTGTGCAGAACGGTTCGGGATCAGTCGAGCTGTGCGGTCATCAGAAGGAAGAGTGGTCATCATCTGGATTCCACTTGACCTCAAGCCCTCAAACTAAATTGTCGGAGCACTTAGGACCCCACAAAAAACAGGGAAAATCTACCAGTGACAACCGAAGTGAATCATCAACTGAAGCACTCTGAAGTGGAAGATTAACGAACCAAACCCGATCAGAATTAATTTACCCTCCCCCCTCCCCCGTAATCCACCAAAGCAAGATTTTGACAACTTCACTAACCGACAAGAGCCGTAATTGACACTCAACACTGATCTAGTGTGATAATCTGAAGAGGACTGACTTACTGATTGATTCCCTGTCTACCTTATAACATGGTCAATTTGGTGACCTGCTCACTTGGCCTGATGAAGCGTTTGTGTCACAGGCGAAACGTTGCCCAAATAAAAGCTACGGATTGTTTACCAAGCTCTTCTGAAACTCGGTATTAGTGTTGAATTCTTTCAATCCAAATGAAGGGTGATTTGCATGATCTGTTTTAACTAAGGAAATCACAACATTCATATTCAGGTATTACCTTCAGGAACCAAAAAGACAGTCAGTAACTGTTAATTCACTTGACTACTTTTGAGTGCCCTGCAATTTCGGAAGCTCTCAAAAGCTGTCAATGGTTCGTCTAGACAATTGACATCTGAATGATCTGTGATGAGTTCGGTTAACCAGATTTCTTAATACACCTCGACTGATAGCCACATACTTGCGTGCTTAAGAAGCGAGTTGAAACATCTACGCAGCGATGCGCTTTCCTGAGTTGGACAACTAAAACAAAAACCAGTGATCTGACAGTAAACGGTTCACCTCGTAGTTTGCCACAACTATCTGCAGAACTTCCACTGACGAGCTCGACCATCAGCGACAGCGGTATATACCGGGTGGAGTCAATAAGAGGAAATACGACCCAAACATCCTGTTGCACTGCGGTTTGAAGGGAATCGAATATTTGCGTAACCCAATTTCACAGAGGACGGCCTACTTGGGAAGTAGTGGAGTGAAACATGGAAAAAATTTCCAGTTACTTTTGTCTCGTCCATCGATTCAATGATACGTTTTGTGGGATCGTAACGAAGTGACTCCGTTCGAAGAAGACTGTTGTTGTTGTACACCACCGTACTTGCTAAGTTGCATCCCCTTAGTATTTTCAAGAGATGCACAACCAGAATGAAACGATAAAAGATCGGTGACAAAAACCAAGTGACCAATGATTTGCAACCTCGACTTAGCCGCTGATTGGTCCACTATACCTACTTTTCGTGTGAGTTTCACGGACATTCAACTGAAAATCAATATGAAGCAAGGAAGATCAAATTTTATTTAAGGAGTAGGTATTTCATCCAGTGTTGGCATTAGCCCGATTGTTGGGCTGTGGGGTTACACAACTTACAACAGCGCACACCCAGAGAAATCAGTAGCCTAGAAAGGGCAATACATCTCTTCATCCACTCGTATTCATACCTTGGTGAAATAACGAGCTTCATTCGCATAATTTTGGCTTCCTTCTCAATCTTTCACGTATTCGTTGTCCCTTATCCCATCTCATTGAGAGCACCTTCTATATAGGCCTCAGCATTAGGACCAGCAGCCTTGCTTGCTTTGAATCACCATTAGGGGCAAATTCTGCGAGCTTGTTTTTCGGTGAAGGGTCTAAACACCTCGAAGTCAAGTTTAGAACCGGGAAAACCGACCTACCTTCATTGCCCTCAATGTCCGCAATCTAAAGCAAGCAGGACAACAAGCCCTGCTCGGTTGTATTGTAGATTCTGTCTACATCGGCGTGTGCTTTGTCAGGAACAATAATCCAGAATGCAAGTATTGTAATTGAACTGTCCCTTCGCTTTCTTCTTGCTTTGGTTGCACATTTCTGGTGAAACAGAAGCCGCTATAGCTGGATATATCGCGGTGAATATTGGGTTGAGCCATCCAGCTGAAGCAACTTCACTTGACTGGGTAACCTTTGGTAGAGATGTCTACACGGTTCGTATGGCAATGGCTATATAATAGGATCTTGAGAAAGGGAGACCCGTCGCTCTAAATTTGCTCTCCCTATCTGTGCACGACGAACTACAGCTCTGAATCTACCCGAAAAACTTCCATGACATCCTAGATGTTGTTCTGCAACGGGTTAAAAGAACAGACATTGTTTTGGCTGCTGGTAACATGGGCGCGCAGATAGGTAGGCTTATCGCTGCTGAGAGTCAGTTCGGTGGCCGTCTTTGATCAAACCTGAGATGCACGGACAACGAGCAGCGCCTACTGTGTATTGATCGCAGACTACTCCTTTGTTGAACGGACTTGGTCAAGTCCTTTTGCCAAGCTCTTTCTTAGTCACAAAAACGTATGAAAAGTATCCTTGTCTTGTGGTGGGACCATGACTTGATAGACTTCGGGAAAGTCCAACCAACCGTTTTCCAAGTAGAGGTAGAAATCGGAATCCATATGATTTTACCGCAGTCGTTTTAAAGTTTTTTCCGACTACATACCCCTCCCTGAAGTTTGGGAGATTAACATATGACAGGAGAAATCACCTTAGATTGCTTAGCCATCTTTGGGGGGAGGAAATTATAGCTTAGGTTGTGAAGTTGGTAGCTGAGTTGTTCGCTGCAATAAAAGTGAAACGGCCACCCAGCAATTCCAACTTCAATTGCTGAGGATTAGTGCCCGAATGCAGAGTGATCGTAAGTGCTGCGGAGCCGCTACTCATAAGAATGCCCAGAAACTTACCTGCGAGTCATGTCCATCATCAACCGGCTCATATAGATCATCCACAGACACAAACTTTTCCTCAATTTCCCCCAAAAGGTCCAGCCCGGCTTTCAGTTCATCATGTGGTTTGTCTGTTTCCACGGTGGTTGCCACAAGGACAATGAAGAAACCATCCGGGCATACCATGTGTTGTCGGGAAAGGCAAGAAATATAAATATCTATGGTAAATAGTCATGAGGAGAATGGAAGAAATACCAACCATGCTTTCGTTTGGTCACGCTTTGTGGAATGATAATTTGAGCGGAGGAGACATCTAGTAAACCCGGGATCGGATGGTTCAAAATGCAAATACAACGAACAACCTGCAAGACAAAGAGAAACAAACTTCAGTAATTCGCAAGTGCACAGGGGGATGTTGATGATGATGTGCATGGCCTAAAATGACAGGCAGTGAAAAAACAACAGCAGTGAGACAAATACCGGATATAAATTGAAGGATAAACATCCATCAATAGCAACCTGATGTCATCTCGACTGGTGATGAGGCGTTTCTAACCAGTTCGTCTGGGATTAACGAGGAACAAAGAGTCAGAAAAAACCGCACTCCCTTAATGAGTGAGCTTTGGAAAGCTCCCTATTCTGCTGCCACATGAACATGGTGGGTCGGTTTTGTGAGAGGCCACCGTGCGCTTCTTAATCGACTGCCGAATGGACAAATAGTAAAGGATTCATTGTAAATATGCGGTATCTCCATGGGCTTCTACGCGTATTACAATGCAGCTGGTACCAGAAAACCGATAAATAAGAAAATCAAATAAAGAACAAGAGCGAGTCAGGGAATGATATAGCCAACGTAAAGCTTGTTAGTCGTTAATACATCAAACATGGAAGTAACGGGTTTTCTGTAATAGGCAGGAACTGGATGTTTAAATCATCTGGTAACTTGGAAAGCCTATTTCCATGAAACACTTTCAGCTAGTGTTCATATGACTATAAAGAAAGTGGGGTGGCGTAGCATGAAGGATGAATAGGGACAAGTAAATTGCTATCATTCCGGACTACTCGTCCCACTAGAGCAACGGGTGACTTAATCACTTATCGATTATTCATTACACTAACGAAGATCAGTGTTCTTCAAATATTTCAGTTCAACTCACCTCCCCCTAGTTCACTACGCATGATGCCATCGTCCCCTTCCGCGTTACGTGCATTATGTGGATGGTTAAATCAGGCAAGTAAATCAAAATATAATCGCATATTATGCTGCTGACTCTTCCTTTTTTTTCTATTTCATATAGTTGTTCTTGCCCCTTACCTTACCTCGCTATTAGCGACATCTCCATAGGCTAAATATTAAGGAATGACGGATCCGTTCGCTCCCCACTGCCATTAGCTACAGTAACTAGGGTTAACTCAACTCAACCGCCGCAGACACTTCGAAAGCATCCTTCAAACCCCAACGCTCAGTTCACTTGGTAGCATTTAACGTTCGCACTCTGAAACAAGCTAAACAATGGACCGTATGCACTCTGGATTCGATATCTATTGATGTGCGCTGTCTGTCTGAGACGAGGATCGAAGAACCAAGTAAGGTTGTTTGAATCATCTCCCCATCGGTTTCCGCCTCTGGTGATCCAGAAGCCACTGCTAGGGTTACCATTGTCTTAAGCGACCAGGCTGAAAGGTTACTGCTTGAATGGTTGTTCGTGGATAGTCGCCCCTGCACGGTTCGTTTGCAAACGTTCCTGAGTATCCGATGAATGCGCCAATAACTGGTGTCCCTTCATTGTCCCAACAGACTGTAGCTTTGATATACTCCCGACGCTTTCAGTGCCTTATTTCTAATGGCTAAAAGCTCAGAGATTTCTGTAGTTGCCGGGGGGGGTGCATGGATAGGTAAGGCAAATAGGCAAACTTGACTGCCGAAGCTCAATTGGGTGGACCGGAATCAAGACGCACAGACAACGGCGAATACCCGCAGATACGTGCTGACCACAGACTATTTTTGGGCGGCACCAACCCCCGGAACAATCGAAACTGCTTACCCACATTGTGCTCCCAGCCAGCCTCCGATACACTGCCATTAGCCTGATGATAAGTGGTAGTCGTTCAGCTGCAACCCCTTTCCAGTGCCTAGCTGCCCAAGCCTAAACAGGATCAGCCAAGATGCAAAGGTTGGATTCGAACCACGGATCTTCCGGTCAGTAAATTCGCGTTTTAACCACTGAACCATTTCTGGAACGCCCATATGGATTCGTATCATGTACTTGTTCGTTCTTGCTTCTCGCTGAACTGTTTATGGACACATAGGGTGCGCATAACTCACCTTGCCTTTGAACGGTATCGGTCCCTGATTAGAAGCAAACCAAGCAAAACTACTTACCAAAATCCATTTCGGACAATACGTCCTATGACGATGACATTGACTGCAACCCTACAAGATACTGGGCGATGCGTTTGTGGAACGGCAATGAATCCCGAGCAACATTCTAAAATTCCTCGAAGTTCTAAATTAAAATACAACTGGAGGAACTGTCGCAGGTAGAGTGAAAAAGAACACTTAGGCAGATTGAAAAGGTTTGCATGTTGTTAATCGACGTGACCCACCCTGGGTTTGGCTGGAAACAGTAAACTATATGGCGGCTAACCGGTGTCGGTGACGTTCACGCTGTCAGTCGCTACCCAGATGATCCGACAGTGTTGGAGGTGAGGGTAGCTCGGATATTTGTGATAGACTAGGCCTGGATCCTCTTCTTGACCCATTATTTTCTTCCCACTAAAAGGTCTTAGTTAAATAGATTGACATAGTTGTTGGCAGTCAAGCACCAGTGTTATCATCTGCTGTAGCTGTCAACGATGTAGATGGATCAGGATAAGGCAGTTCAATATTATAAAAAGCCCGTGAACGGCATCCATTACGGAACAGAGCAAACCACGTGCGACACCACAAGTTACGCAAGACCCGTTTTTTGTTATCATCGAACTAGACAATTAGATATTCTTAAATGACACCAGATATGTAACTGAAGCAAGAGGAAGTGCCAATTCAGTTTTGGCTGTTTATGTACCATCCAGCTATCGCATTCGCTTGACTGGTATTTGACCGTATATGCTTTATAGCAACTCAGTGAGTCTTTATGAAGGTGAAAAGCATGACGGACTGAGGCTTCTGCAAAATAAGTACATGTTTGCACAAAGCTGCGTCAGGATTCAATACGGAGCGGGGGCTTACAGCAGTGCTCCTAACTAACAGTTTTCTCTACAACGACCCGCTGTCTAGTACGATTATGTGAATTGCATTCGCAACTGCTGGGCTATTCACCCCTACGTAGAAAGACAGCCTCTCCAATTTTATCAACTTCACCTGGCCTATTTGGGGTCTACTAGACAGGGACTAGTGTAATTAAATTAGTCGGCTCCATAAGAGTTTACGACACGCTATAGTGTTCCTTAATAAGACAATGCAAAGACTGCCCTAATCACCAGCTGGAGTTCAGTAAAACGGTGAGAGTTGTCGTCAATCTTTGTACTAGTCAATAAATAACTGATAACATTGATGGTGTGACCAGTTGACAAAGGATCCTGGGTTATTCGAAGCCACAGTGATCAGGACCGAGGTACGCTGACATACGGGCATTAAAATAGTAGGCACAACGATGCAGAGAACACACTCACCTGACCGACTTTCTTCACACGATCGGGAGCGTAGGTTGGGTCGCATATCACAGCCTTGCATTGCGCCATTTCGCCTTGTGACTTCACACCCACTACTTTCCCATTCTCGAATACAATTTCATCAACTGGTCTGTTCAACATGTAGGTTCCGCCGTGAACAGCACTGAGTCTGGCAAATGCCTGAGACAATTCACCTAATCCGTATAGGGGATAAACATAGGGTGATTTTCCGTAGCGCAACATAGATTTGCTGTACAACTGTATGCGGTCAGTCACCTCGGAAGCCGGTACTGTATCCTTGTAACAATCATCCGGATATAGACAAATAGCGTGCCCAATGAAATTCTGTGAGATTGGAGAGTTAGAAGAAAACAGACAGGAAGAAAATGCCTCGCAAGACAATGAGTAAAAGTGACGTTCATTAACAGCTGAGTATCAAGCAAGCACCGTTCCAAATGAATTCTGAAACTGTCTTTATGATCCACATTCGGCTCATGAACATCACAGATGAGAGATTCGACTGAATCCCTAGCTAAGGCTCTTAATTCACCATTAAGCTGCTGCTAGCTAAAAGTGATACTGCTTATGATACGAACCACGCATGCTGATGGGTGCCAAAGATTTTCGAGATTCCTCAAAGATCTCCTGGCTTTGATGCGAGTCCAGAGTTAGTTAGACACCTGAATAACCAGGCACGCAAAGAATTCAGTCGCTTGGAGTGCCTCACCAGTCGTAGGTATCGTCATTAGGAGTGCATACCAGTCCTGATAAACGAGTTTAGGTACGTTAAAAAAGTCGAAGGCGTTCTGAGTAGACAGATGTCACTTCCTATCAGAGTAACATCAGCAGCGCAGTCTATTTTGTCAATCCCGTTTGAGAGGTTTTCCACATTACCACCCGTATTTCCAAGTATCTCAGTTGTGGGAAAGTCATTAACAGTTGAATCCAAACAGAGGGGGTATTCTGCATCCTTTAATTCTCACGCTAACGGAAGGGAACAGATGAGACAAGTGCTATAAACTCTGAATCGAATCATCGTTTCATTATGTAAGGCTAGCACTCCAGCAGGCAATTGAGATGGTAACTTTCAACCGATGGTGCGCCTATAGACTGTTCCAGGAAACACTCACACTTTCCGTAGCAGTCCAACAGTTCCAATCACCAGGGCTAAGTCTGCGGAAAGATAGAGAGCTCAAGAGATCAACCAGAATCGTCCACTTGTAGATGACGTAAAAGTTCACTCTTCTTTAACACGGCAAGTGTTACACGCTGGCACCTAAGAATCTAGAGTTGCTTGCTTCTTTGTTTCATTCCGCAACTATAGCCACTTCGGTTGATTTTCTTCACTCACTGGGCTGACTTCCCGAATGAACTTAGAACGAAAGATCCAAAGTGCTAAATGTAGTGCAATGTTGTAGCACCACCTGTCAGGCCAACCTACTTTGTTCTGAGTAGCAATAGCTACTTTGGATCGCTTTCCATCATCTTCAGACTTACTATCGTCGTCTTCAGGCTAAGGTGGTTGATTTATGTCAACCAAGGTGCCAAGGATGGGCACCGGTGACAAGCGCATGCAGATCGCGGTTTGACATACCACTCCTTGCCAACTGATGGATGTTCATTGTCAAGTATTCTACTAATACAACAGATGTAGATACCAATCGAAAGGGCACGATTTTAAAGCTGCATTTTTTTTACTTCGGATCGACACCCAAATGAAGTTAAACTCAGGTATATTGGAATCCTGATGGGATTTGTCAGGTCAACAAGGTGACGTCAAAACAGTCCAGTTATGAGTGCAACACGGCCTGTGTTGATGGACAAGGGCCTGTCAAAATAGGTACGTAAGGGATTTCACCATTCAGTGATGGTTTCCGACACATACTTCATATTAGTCCTGAAGTCGTTGTCATTTTTATGATTTGGCTAGGGTGTGCTAGAATGTTAACAGATATTATGAGAGTCCTCGTAATTTGGACAATGAAAGTGGACGTTCCCTTGTGCGGATTTTTCCAAAAGCAAATTCACTGCTCCAAATTGTTCAAGTTCTCCCTAGCGCCTCTGGCATAATCAAGACGACCCCGTCTATTCGGGAGACAAATGAAAACGCGGATCTCAATAAGTGACCCAGACACTCCGAGCCCTTTGGGTCTCATGCCTTCTACGGAACCTAACACAAACGAAAACTAGTCGAGGCTGTTGTGGCTTTCACTGGACCCTTTACGGAGGCGGGGACTACAGACATCATTGAAGGTGATTCAAAAGCAGATCGTGACAAGTAATTTGCTGGTCACGTGGTGCTACACCTTCGAGCAATTCATCGAGCATATAATCGCAATGTCACTAACCGGGACGAGGGAAAACTGAGTTCAACAAAAATGCATATATTGCCAAATAATGAATGACACAGTATGCAATTTCTGCCGAAATCATCAGCTTCCCCAGTAGTCGCTTAGCTAGTTCGAAAATAACTACGCGGTGTGTTGGCATAGAAAAAATAGTGTAAAAATCATTCAGCTGTAGCAACTTTCCGGTGCCTAAGTGCCGTGCCACCAGAACGAAGCACGAGGGCTGGGATACTGACAGGTTGTCAAAGCGTACCTAAAGGAAGCCGAGAGGCAGATCTTGGGTTCGAAACACGGACCTCCTGGTCAGTAAATTCACGCTCTGACCGCTGAGCCATGCTGACATGTGAAGTACAGCTACATTCTGTCCAGACTGATCGATTTGGTTACGCGTGAATACTGATGCATACCGATTCACACGAACAGGTTAAAGCGAGGTACCTTTATGCGTCACACGATCAGCAATTGGTGAAGGTTTGTCGCTAGACTATACAGACGATTTCGTCTGCGATGATTTAGCGCAGCACACAGTCGTCCCATAATATCATCATCATCGACTGCATGACATCAGTGTTCAACATCGATGCTTGACTCCCGTTCCATAATGTGGTTATCATAGGTTTAGATCGGACAGAGAACCATTTCTGGACCCAGCAGCGAACACCTTGTAAGGTTGAGAGCGAAACCAAAACTTTATTGGACGGTGCCGACACAAGTTGCCAGTTGTTTTCAAGACGGCAGCACAACCCCAGGCATGGTGATAGCCCGATTTCCGGTTTTCGAGCGAAGTGACCCAATCAATGAAGTCTTCGCTGCAGTTGCTACCACGTAAAATGCTGAAGCAGCATCCTCTAAGCACGGTGTCGGATATTTTATTGGGCGGTCTAGTGAAGATTACTTGTCCGCGCAAAATATTCTGAACAGAATATTGGAAATCATTCCATGTTTGGGCAGGCGTTTTGCACCTTCAGAGCGCAGTCGTTTCAAGATTTTTCATCCCCTTATGCTTCTTTAAAACTTCATAATGAAGAGCTTGGGTTTGTTGATGGGTTCATGTATCATGATTGCTGCGTTAGCATAAAACAGATAAAGTAAATTCGCGGATAATCAAGGCTCCAGCAGTGCTCGTGAATTTGCGCCGAAGCTAAAGGACAGTGCATGCAAGGTAACCGTAAAAGGGGCCTTACTCTATGGTTTTGATAGTGGGTCCCTAGGGTCAGAGGACTAGTAAATAGTTGTCTTTGCGACGTTTTGTTATCCATCTCAGTCAAACTCAATGCCACTCATAGAAAAACGGTGCGCTTGTAGTGTCAGCATATATCCTGACAGATTGCAGTTCTGGCGCTGAGAAGGATACTTCCTACCGGAATTTATCCACACTCATTCGCTAGGCATTGACATTGTTATCCTTGCGGGTGATATGCATGCCCCATTCAGTCAATCCACTCTGAGCAGTCAATTCGCAGTCTAGCGACTTCTCCAGTTATGTGCTGATCATCAGCTGCGATGCGCCCGATGTTGTTATACGGGTCAGAAGCTTGGCCTCAGAGCTGAGGACGTGGTAAAAAACTTTCGGTGTTCGACCATCGACGTATGCGGGACATTACCTCAGTCTGGTTGACACACCGGACCAGTAATTCTGACGTCAAACGGATTTCGCAAGACAAAGTTCACCCACGATAGATGAACTGAGCACACAACAAAGGTTGTGCTCACTTGACCACGTGCTCCGTTTGTCAGTCGACCGACTTCAGAGAAGGGCTCTTTTCGTACAACCACGTGAAGAGTGGAAACGAGTCAGGAGGTCAAACGATTATTTGGCAGCGAACTAAGAAAACAATTATCGGCAAACTCAACTGAGCTGTTCATTGACGTCTAATTGGAGGGGGCCCTAAGACGGGACACATCAATGGTCACGGACACTGTAAGACATGATCCAGTTGCGCGCGCCTCCAACCTGTTGTCTTCAGTGCACAGCTTTTCTTTCCGATTCCCCCAATGAAAACGCCAATGACACTCATAAGCACATGCGCACATTACGTCGACTACCGCTTGCTATGCGAGATATCTACCCCTACCTTCCCAAACCATCAATGAAGCTTGGTAGCTATAACCACTTGTCATCATTATCATAATAACCATCATCAAAGACAGCAACATCAGTGTTGACACTGACACTTCACTGCCGTACAACCATAAGGTACGTCTTATTATATTTAAAGCCCTAGAGTGAAAAGGAGAGTGGGGGGAGGGAGGGGGCCTAGTGCTGGCCTATGTCAAGCATTCTGAGGTGCCTACGTTCGTAAGCGCTCGATTAGATAATCCGGAGAGAAAGTGACAGCACGAACGTTAATGATATCGATTAGCCGCTATTTCTTGCAATGTCTCCAGTCAAGCACAGGTGGGGTCACGGGGACTCCATACTGGAAGTCGTCCAACACCAAAATCACTCGAACTCCTCATGATCTCATGTACGCCCTTCTACGAAGTCATGCGTTGTCCACCTCACGGTTTGCGCCATTCTGAAGGAGGCAGTAGGAACAACACTCGTCTCGGTAGACGGTGCTTCGGCATGCATAGCACATGACCGAGCCATCATAGTCGGTGCTGATAGATTCTTTTCCCCATTGAAGTATCTGCCGCACAACTAAATAACCGTCTTCTAATCATGCTACTAACACGCTGACGCCATCCAAAACCAGACACGCTTCTGGAGCATCAGTGGTCAAGAACTCGAAGATGCCGCACATCACCTGTCCGCTGTAGAATAAGCACACAGTTTTACAGGGGATGACGTTGTCCCTGGTTAACGGAGTCAACTTCAAACCAAGTACACCAAGTTTCTAACAACAGGGTATTCGCCTCGCACCGGTCAGCAAAATGGTGACGTTACAGTACTCATGGTGTTGATCGCCTATTGCTAAGTTTAATCCGACCGTAAACAGCCACCCCCTGCTGAAGCACTATGTCATTCCACTCGCTATCAAATAGTCATCGTATCCAGTTCAAGACCGCCTTACACCTTGCTGGCGCCTGTTGGGATTATTTTGGAGCTGGTGGTAGCAGCAGCGAGGCCTTTGGTATAATAAGGTAGCCAAATGTTTGCAGTTGTGGTCTGTAGGCAGAATCGCCCAGAAAGTGCATTACGGTCAGCAAGTTGCAAACCCCTCTCCAGATATAAACCGACTGGAAAGTACGGTCCACTTTACTCTTGTTAAAAGCCATTATATGAAGAGATTCCCCACCAGCTGCTCGGCGTTCTTCCAGGCCTACTCATTTCCCGTAATACTCGGTAAGGTCAGTCCGGCGATGTTCGGGAAAGTGGAGGCTAGAAGACGTGTCTGCTGTCACTCCTGAAGTTGTGGCTGATTCCCACGACGACCAATGTGTAAGTACGGCTGGATCTCGTGAATACGCGCCCTACGGTAGATAGATCAAGGCAAAAGTGAAGAATATTTATCATAAGGCGAGAACTAATCATGAAAACCGCCAACAGACGAAGTGCGTTCTGCATTGTAGAGGCGGTATGGCGTGTAAATGTATGCTTGAAAGCGCAGGCGGTCCAAATATCACCACAGGCTGCAGCTGTCCCTACATTCGGATAAAATTTCAGTGGCAGCAGGCGTTTCTAATTCGCACTGCATCATTTGATGGGTGGGGAGGAGGTGGGGTGAAGGCCAGTGAGAGAAGGGCTGTGGGTCATGGGCGTGTTAGAACCCCATTGCTGATTGTATACAGCCTTGAATTGTTCTCCAACCGAATTCAATCATAATGATGCACCTCTATATTGATTAAACGACCTACACCTGATAACTCCTGTCTCGTTTTTAGAGACGCTACCTGCCAACGTAATAATCTGTTTTAAATCCATCCCCGACTGTCCAGTTACCTTGCCTTAGCTACAGACATCCTGGCTGTTTCCGTCGAGTCGAGTGCAATTACTTGAGTTTTCGTGTTCCCGTTACGTGTACAACGCCGCCTGTAGATGGCGCAAAAGAATACCAGTAACAGAAATCGGACACCTAAGATACCATTCGAAATTACACACGTCTACTTACCTGGGTATCATCCTCAAGTTCAAACGCGCGGAAGGCATGAATAATGCAGTCTTTGCGCAAGTCCTTAGGTTCACTGTATACTGCACTCCAAGTGGAAGGGTCGGAAGCGTCTACGTTCATAACCCAAACCAAAAATTTCCTGAACCGACGCTTTTCAAACAGACTCATTAGGTCTGACTGGCTCGATAATATAAAAAACTTACCGGAAGAGAGCGCCTCTGTTTCACTACATGGAACTTTGTGAATGGATCCACCCTGAAAGACATAGCTCCCGTCGACTTGTTTAAAGTCCAAATATCGAAGCACACCCGTATGCAACAGTAACTTAACAAGATTCCCTGAAATTTGTTCAATATAGCTACGAGAGACCGCTAACCATTGGCCATAATGAACTTCGGAATCAAGTCCACGTTCCAGTCCTTTCCTCGCTGGAACGCTTCCAAATCTTTGTTAACACCAAACATGTCAAACAGGGCCTTTAAAGGAGTCAGTGATGTACTTTTCCCTCCATAAAAGTCATTCCTGTCTATGTGCAGAACTTTCTTCCCTTCTATGGAAAGTATCCCACTAAGAATACACTCCTAACACTTGTAAGGGTAAGCTACATGCGAGGATACCTTCAGTCCTGTTCCAAGGACAATAAAATCGTAAGCCTCATCCATCCTGAACAGACAAACGGAACCACGGCGTCCAGAGCCGGCCGGCGGTCAAGGCGCCTAGACCTTGAAACTGATCAGTTCATGGATTGACACGCGACTGGAGCGTCTACCACGGTCGATCGGTCGCACAACGCTTTTCGCTGCGAAACCTTTGCGATTGAAATAGAAAATTTTTTAAAGAAATGTTGCATTTTGCTGCATTTGTGCTCGAGACGAAGACCATCCCAATCTACATTCATATTTTTGTATCTCACCGTGTTTCATTTTCCACTGAGGCAACCATACACCTCTCACGGTAAAGTCTGGTGGAATACTTTCCTACCATCGCTGAGCCCCTGGAATACCTAGACGTAGCCCAAAAGTTTGGTCTCGTAATCTGAACTCAATTGCTTGTCTATTTAACTCCGTTGTGCGAATACTGAACATGGCCCAAGCTTCCCGAAAGTGGTTTGTCCTTGTCATTCATCGGATTTGGTTCACCCGAACCACCTGGAAAGAAAAAAGTGAAGAATCTCCCTTTTAATCTTCGGCGCTCGGTTTTAAGCCCGCTAAAATGAGAACACAAAAGCAGCTATAATTGGTACGGACAGGGCACCAGAAGTTGTGTGGATCACCGTCCGAGTGGATTAATCCACTCACCCACCGCCCGAAATGGAGCACATTGTTTTCTAATGGTGGTGCCTGCCAAACACCGTGCACCCGCCGTGCGTTAGCTGAGCCAGGGTTTGAGACGTATGACAAAAACTTATCCAGACGTGGCGTTATCACTGGGCTCGTTCGGAGGCTAGTGCACTCCAGGAGGTACATTCCGCGGATCTGAAGGTTTGTTTCATAGTCGTGGAAATTGAGGCTGGCAACCATCTTCGTACTGACTTGAAGGTGACCCCAGGCCTTTTGATGCCCTCACCGGGGGTTACGCCTTCCGTCCAGAGCAGAAAATGAGGTTGGCGTATTCGAGAAGTGGGCTTTATAGCGTGTCCGGAGATTCATGCAAAATGCACGGAACCTGGTGTGATTAGGCATCCGAAGAACAACGAGTGCCTTCTACACCATCGTGATGGTCTGAGGAAGCTATGTTTGAAACTAACCAGGCAACTATGTCTGGATTAATACCTGGTTAGTTTATGCCTATTTGTCTATTGTACCGTATACGACAGCGGCGTTCACCGAGGCTCTTACCGGCAATATATGAACACATTTTCCTTGTTCGGAGGGAAGTCCATCCACATTGGCTACTACTTTGCAGCGTCTATGTCTATTTGAGATGAACTGGCAATAAAGTCCAGAATTTCTGGTGAGGCTCCTTTAAGTTCAAAAGTGGACTTGGGAGTACTTCGAGGAGGTTACTGCCGTATACAGCAACCGGGTAGGCCTTTTAACGAAGTCTTTAGGAGTTTCAGTAGTGACCAGGGCAGAAGTTTGGGTTTATCCAAATTTGATTGACCATTTCGCCATATGCGATTCCCATATATTTCGAGTTCCATTTCAGGCTGGGTTGGAAGTGTCGATAGAGGTGCAAAATGAATCTGAGGCTCAAGTACCCTGGTTCCGTAGTGTATAACATCAAAAGTTACTGTGCCTTAAAGGAGCCTTGATTATCATCTGATCGACAACCTATTATCCACTGGTGATAATCAGGTCTGTTAAGAGTGTCAGCTGGCCTGCGCAATATCGGTTGCCATCCGTTGCATGGCTCGGTTCAGCGCCAATGTTGAACGTTCATGACGCGTTGTAATTTCATACTGGTGACCTAAGGTGCTCCAAAGCTATGTATTAACAAAAGCTGCACAAAGAGGTAGCTGGAGGAAAGTTACCGAGGTCCATTAATTATGAACAATTCGACCCACGACTGACCGATTGACCAGTAAGCGACCCACTTGAGAGGAGAGTCTGCCCACTGTAGAGAAATTTCAACCAAGAATCCATCGAAAGACAGTGTAGAGTTGGCGTGAGAGATAATACATGGAGTTGACGGGGCTGCGAACAAGTATAAAGCCGTCTACTTCCTCCCTCTTTTCTGATTAATCTGATAAATAGGGTAACATTCATCTCATACCTCCGCATCAGAGACCCCACGTGTATCCACGTCACCGAAAATGGCGTCCTGGATAGTCAGTTTACGCAGACCGATCGCTTAATGTCGCAGAGCCTAGTGAAAAGGGGGAGGATCATCGTTTCAACACGGTTTCTGCACCATCCATACCCGGTGGACTCGGGTGGGCTCGAATTGGTCAGTCGGCCTTCCGATCATGCATTCTGTTTACTGGGGTGGCCGTGGTAAAAAAAGAAGACGGGTGAACTCACTTAGCTTTCGGTTTTGCCAGTTTCCTATCCTAAATTTTGACGGGAAGTGATTCGGATTACGAGGTAGTAAAATGTGGCGCAATGGACGTTGTGATATTCGCATGTACAGATGGCAAGAGCTACGTGGAATTGGGCTATGAACCAGCCAGTAGGCCGTATAGTGATGGTTTTCTTGACTCGGATGATGAGGAGCCTTGACCAAGGGGTCTGACAGGTGGCTCAAACAAGTCCCAGCTGTGTGAGTGGAAATTCGCTTTGCGCACGCCTGATAATACTACAGCGGGTCTTGAAGGACCAATCTTTCAAGTTGTTATCGTAAGAGTCGAAAATCCCTGGTTCATCGGTCATAAACTACACATATATGGTTGCCGAACATCCTGATTGATGTCTATACTGGCGAAAGATAAATAGCAACACAAAAGGATGGAAAGGTGTGGTGTGTGTTTAACCCTGGACAACCTTCAGTAGAGAAATGCTTTTCCCGGGGTAAGGAAGCCGAAGTGGGTGAAAAGGGCGACGAATTTTGTCATATCGGCGTGGATAGGTGCTCGGCAAAGACTGAGTATATGGCTCTCTTGATAGACCGATTAAAAGGTGCCGTTGCAAACAGATGCAAGTTTACTTACACATATCCTCAGGATACTAGTGTCATATAGAAAAGCTAAGTTGAGAAAGAAATATTAACAATATGGGAGTTTTGCTGATAATTAATAACATTTGATTCATTTCTGCTACGCTTTTGGTGCACAACAGAATTTCATGTTTTGCGCTTTCTCAGTTCCGCCTGTGGTCTTGGTATATCAAGCTTGATTCTATGCAATCGCGTGACCTCTGTACTCTTGTGAACCTTCCTTTTGGCTCAGTTTGTGTGTAGGATGTTCTTCAAAATCAGCGTTACTAAACAAGACAATCGGAAGCCCGTACAATTCTGTGATGAGAGGCTTGAACCGTTCCGTAATTTTGTTACTGTATCTAAGATACCATGTTGGCCGATAAACTTCTGGCGCAAAAAAGCGAAGACTGTGGCTTGCCTCCATGCAGTTCTTGAGGATAAGCAATCAAGTCAACTGCATTTTGAGTTCAAGAGAGATCCAATCACAAACGGACCTTGCGCTGCGTCAATCGCTGTTTACTGTAAAAGAACTAAGCTCACGTAACTCTGGTTGAAGTTCTTCTGCTATAAGAAAGGAATTGTGTGAAAAATAGTTTATGCCATTTTGGCTGAGGATGTGAAATGAACATATCATTATGAGTGGCGGAAGGAGTAATTTGGATAGAAATTGTAGAACTTTTTCGGGAGATGGAGTTGACCACATCCTGCGGGGTTTGAATAATTTTCCTGTATCAGCCGTTGGCCACTGTGGCATGCTTGAACCAGACACGTTATTTAAATAGATTTTTGGAGATTTCGCTTTTAGGCGTTAGCTGTGGGTTCATGAACAGCTTACCTTGAATGCTGTTGCGTTGCTCGTCCTTGAGTTTGCAGAGTGCTATTATTTCTACTTGAAATGACTGGATCGCCTTCATCGATCACCTGAAGCGGTATATGTTTTCGGCGAGTGGTTCTGTCGAGGATGACCTCAGTATTTGAATTTCAAGTTTAGGATATTCCTGGCAGGTACCGACTGCTCGGAGATAGCGATAAAGTCGGCGATAGAAAACCAAGGTTTTCAGGAGGTCGCGTCGGTGTTTCAGGGCCGAACGTCGGTCTGTATCTGAGTGATCTCGATCTGAAGAACTATACTAGGCTTGATTCTCCTCAACCGCTTCAAAAAAGCACTGGAGGCCCATCACACATGGCGGTGCTTCACATGGTTCAGAAGGCTAGTGGGGATGAGCTAAACATGAGACCTTGCAATCTTCGGTTGCCAGATTCCAGTGAACGTACTTATGAGGAAATGAGAGACTAAGGGCCCTTCGGAAATCAGAAGGGTAACACTTGCTAAAAGGGAACAATTTGGGTTCCTCAGGAGCTGATCGCTCATAGATGCCCCAGTAGTTTTCGCGTGCTATATAGTGTGCCGATGGAGGTGAATCGAAAGGTAGCGAGCACGTTTGCCGCAAAACTCTGAGTGGCGCCTGTTGACATCCACCATGAATCGACGGACAAAAAGTCGTTACGGTAGGGCAGTTCACCGTTTTTTTCTGGAAGCTGGTGCACCAGCCGGATGGATAGCTACGTGATAGCCACAGTCATCACGCTGATTTTAAGGCCCCGAAGGATCGAGTACAGGCGATTGGGGAGACATGTCCCGTTGTGTGGGCTAATAAATGGCAGCCGGCTTTACAGCACAACGTTGTCCTTTCGTAGCTCATTACAAATTACCTAGTCGCTATACCTCAAACATGCTCACGGATGTTAGCCACAGGGCGTCCCGAAACTCGCGGATGTCAGTGGCCATGGAGGACATTTGATCACTCTCATGACAGCGTAAATAATGTCTCAGTTTTTCATTAGGCTCTGGAAATGCTCACAGATCTTCTGTTTCTTCAAGCTTACGCAAATTATCAATCTCTTGCGAACATTATTTTAGCGAAGCGAATGCCGGACCAATCGTAATGGCGCCAAGTTTTTGATGAATTCGACTTGCAGGTCGTATATGGAGCCTGAACCAGAATTGAGCGATGTGAATAGTGGCGATGGCTTCGGACATATTTCTTTGCAGCCTCTTCCAGAAATCGGGACCATTTTCAGGTCTCTGCCAACAACATAAACGCTAAGAGCAGATATCCACTGAATGTGCGCAGGTCA